TTGTGTGTGTGTGTGTGTGTGTGTATGTGTGTTATCGTTTGTAAAAAATTTAATTAATATTACTTCTTTAATTTTGATTCTTCCTGTAATTTCAATGGTACATAATTTTCGTCATCATCATATGTCTGTTTTTCATGTTGTCCAATCGTTGTAATAGAAGTTGTAAATATATCGACATTTTTACATATATCATCAAATCTTTTAGAAACAGTTGTACAAATTTCCTTCCTAAATGGATTCATCGCTTTTGTCTTACACAAAAGACATTTATTCATTGCAACATTTGCACAACAACTATTATTGATCCACTGCTGAATCGATATGCTAGCTATCGATTCTTTTATTCGCTCGGTATAAATTTTATTCTTCTCTAAAATATCGACGCATTCTTCATTCTTAGAAAAGTGACGAATTACTGCTGTACGTCGTTTTGCTTTCAGACGTGCAATTATATCTTTTACTAGCATACTATCAGCGCAATTATAATACTGTAAGCTTATCTCTCTTATCTAAAACATAAAAATATTTCAATATAAGTTATATAATTATTTAGTTAAAGAAATATTAAAAAAATATTATTATATTTTCAACTAATATCGAATAATAAAATAATTAAAACTGTATATAAAGGTTATTATTATTTTTCATTAATCACAATATTTTTATCAAATTTGCATTAAAAAAATCTTATTAATTCTTTGTAAATATTTAATGAATTTAAAAGAAGATATAGACTTATTAATTATTTATAAAATTATTTGTATTAAAAACAGTCAAAAGAATAATGTTACAAAATAGTAATATACCAGATTATAAATGTAATTTTCTATATGAAGAGGATTTCGTGGTGTAAAAAGAAATAAGACAGGTCCTTCATGGAGATAAGGTGCAAGAGTAAGTGCTTTAATTCCAGGAGGCTGTAGCCATAGAGATGGTTGATGAATAGAACTACTGATCCAATTCAGAATGTTTCCGGAAGTCCATTCATTGCTTTCCGGATAAATCTAAGGATTTTTTAAAATGATATATTATATAAAATGAATAAAGGGATTCATGTACACTTACTACAGATTCATTCCACATAAGCAAACTTGCTGAAGGAAATTTATAAACTCCATAACGCAATTCACTAGACGATGCGCTAGTCACTATAGCAAAAACCAATTCTCTATTAGGGTCTTTTTCTAATGATCGTATTGCAGCCTTATAGAACTCTCTGTATCCAGGAGTTCTATCCAATCGTGTAAAATTAAAATATCCAACAATTACTGCCTGCAAGTTGTCAAAATAATTATTGAGATAATTATTAAGATATACATAAATTAAATTTTTCATGATTTATTTTATATAAAAATTAAAATTTTATTTGATATAATTAGTATTAAATATATTTGTAAATAAAAGTTAAATATATTCATTTTCTTCCTTGAAACAAAAGAAGATTATACTACATTATTTTGTTAATTGGCAAATGAATTTCTTATACTTACATCATAGATAACCAATAATTCCATTAATTGTTCCTTATGTGTTATTCTAATAATAGGATTCATTATCGCATCAAGGAAACGAATCATATATGGAGCGGTACGAATTCCTCTATAATTAATGCCAGAATCTCTAGATGGATATAGCATCAATACTGGATAACCATGAATTTTATTATACTGCATTCTGCATTCTGAATCAGGATGCCAACAATTAATGGCTGCGAAGAAAATCTAAGAACACACACAGTGCTCAAGTATTTATGAACATATAAAGAAATAAATAGAATTATGATTTTTGTACCTGTGGATGATAAAACTGAGCAACGGTTTCAAATTCATGTCGAAGTACCTGGCTTTCTGCATCCCAAGGTGCATAATACATAACAAAACTGAAATCTGCTTGTGTGATTCTCTCAATCAATGCATCTAAATGACCCTTATAGAAATCTAATATTACAGAATTCTGATCGAAAAAAGGTTTTGCTATGGGAGGCTTAGAGAGTTTTGATGGTCTATAAATTCACAATATTAACATATACATATGTTGATAATATATTGAAAATAAAGTTTATATTTGTTTGATTCAAGAATGTAGATTCATTTATTAATTTTTGAAAATAATTACAAAAAAATATTGCAAATAAATGTTATTTAAAATCTATATAATAATTAAACAAAGTCACAAATTATGCTTTTTAACATTTTTAATAAGTTTTATTTTTTTTTAATGGAATATATTTATTTCATTAGATTTTTCAAGAAGATTTTGTAATAATAAATTCTATACTAAATAATAAATTTTGATTTTCAATAATTATTCATGAGATGTTGTCATCTATGTTGTTTTCAGATATAAATGAAAAAAACAATTTTTAGTAAGAAAAAAATGTTCACTAATTTTTATTTAAAATACTACTAAAATTTTTTATTTAATTCTGATATTATTTAAGTAAAATGTAATTATGCATTTGTAAAAAAACGAATCAAATTTTGTCACAATTTTTTAACACTTTCAAATAGTGATAAGTCAGTAAAAATCATTGCATTGAAGTGAATTAAACTTAAATTAAAGTTTGATCCTTTTTCTTGACAATAAAAAAAAAGTAAATTGAGTTACATACAATGTTTAAAAAATGGCGGATATTAAATATAAATCTTGAAAAATGGAAAAAAAATTTTTTTTTTTCACTAAGGTGTTCGATTCAGAAAAGTCAACTGCTTTGTATAAATAAATAAATTTGAATGTACCTTTCCATAAAAATACATAATTTCAAACTCATTTATTTCCTAATAAATCTATTACTTAAACATTTTTCTACAATCTTTTTTGATAAAGTTACATCATTTTGAAGAAAATGTTATAAAACAGATATCTTGATGAAAGTGTCGAACTATAGTGGTTTGCGCACACAAAGGCTAATATTTTATGTGTCATATAAATTTTTTGTAAAAGTTGATTTTGTAAAATTTAAATACACAATGAAAAAATTCTCAGAGACTCAAAATCTTTTTAGTTGTAAAGCTGCTTTATTCTGCTGAATTCGTCTAATAATCATTTAAATGATATGAAAATTTTTCAAACATGACATAATGATTGTGTTCAGCAGAGAAAACAGCTCTGCAACTGTTATAAAAATCTGTGATATGATTGATTTTTGCCCTTAGTTCCTCATGAATCTAAATCAATTATATTGAAGAATCTTACAATAATTGCAAAGCTGCTTTCTCTATTGGACACAGCCAATACTAATTCCGCAAAAATATATAATTATTTGAAAAAATCATCATAGAATCATCATTTCAAAAATTGAAGATAAAATCAAAGATGCTCTTGAAAAATATATATAGTAAATTTTTGTAAAATTATTTATTTGCACTTGTTTAAACAAATGTTTATTATCGATTAATTTTTTCCATTTTACAAAAAAATTTCTTGCAAATCATTTTAGTATAACAAAACAAAAAAATTTTAAGATTTAAAGTTTACCTTTAAATTTTTTTTATTTCTGTGACTTGTATCTAAATTATAGATTTTACAAGAAAAATTTACCTATTTTGCAACATTTATTTCAAAACGGTATAACTTTGTCAAAAAATATCATAGATAAATGTTTAAGTAATAGATAATAAATCAATTAAGTTTCCTGGATAATATATTAATTTAAAAGAGAAAAAACATGCCCATTTTCCAAATCTTAATTATTTAAAAAATGTTTTTGTAATTAAATTAACTTTCTTTCAATTGTCAAGAAAAAGATTCAAGTTTTTTAATTCAAGCATTTTAAGTTATCACCACTCAAAAATGTTAGAAAATTATAATAAAATTTGATAGTCTCTTTTATGGATTAATATATAATATTTATAATATATATAATATTATCTTTATATATAATATTTATCTTTTCATGTGACTTTTGTTATTATTTCTATACTTTCTAGCCTGGATATAAATAATTTTTTAATATTTCTAAGCATTTGTATAATTATTGTAATTTTCATAGTAGCTGTTAATTTTTCACATAATTCTTTACTTTATATTACTATTTAATAGTATAATTTGTAAACTAATAAAATAAACTAATAAACTAATAAAATAAATATATCATTTCATTTAAAAAAATAATATACATATACATTATATATATTTATACATAACATTTATACAGTATAAAATTATTTAAATAATTATTTTCTTTAATAATAGAATAATTTTTTAATAGAAAGTAAGTTTAATAGAAAATATTTTAAGATCTATATAATGACTAAGACCTGGTGACACCAGTGATATTTTGACTTTAAGTGACAGTTAAAATTGGATATACCAAAGCAAAAGCAAAATCTAAAATGTTTTAAGTTGCACTTAATTTTAATAAGATAAATTGAATTTTAAGTAATGCTTTTGCTTTGACTTTGCTGCAACAAATTTAAAGTTTAAGTCTCGCTTAAAGCCAAAATAACATTGATGCAACAAGACTTTAAACAAAATTTTTTAATTCCTTTTGGAATGTTTTTAATAATTTCTTAATTTTTATAATAAATATAATAAATATTAGACAACAAATATTGTATATAAAAACATATTATGTATAAAAATATATTACATACAATTATATACCCAATACTTACGAGCTATGCAGAGCAGCTAGAGCGGTAAAGGTAATTGCAAAGAAAAAACAAATAATTTCATAAGAAAACATTTTAGCGGCCAACCGTTCTTCTATTGCCAGCTTCTCTTTAGCCATGTCGTTATTTGATTCGGATGTTGACATGGATGTTGATATTGACGTAGTCTGGCGTGGTAAATTATCAGTATTTTTCGGCGAGTTTGTCTCGCGCTCTTCATTAAATACTCGCTCGGCCATCACATGCCCACACCATACATCAACGTTCAGCACATCGCCATCACACTGGTATTTTTTCCTCGAATGCTCTCTTTCTTTTGACACTTTGTAATCATTTGGGTGCTTTCCATTTAGTGACACAAGTCGACACAAGTATTTGTCCTTGTTAATCATTGAAAGCTAAGAAAGATAGAACGATACTT